TTCGTGTCGTCTGTGTGGGCGGTCGTGTCGTCTTCGTGGGCGGTCGTTGACGTCCGTGGGCGGTCGTCCTTGGTCGTGGGTGTCGTTGACGTCGGCGTGGTGTGGTGGTGGATCTGCCACGTCACCACGTGGCACCTGTGGTTTGGGTCAGCTCAATGGGTGGGGTGATTTGTTTGCGGGTGGAATGAAATGACGGACGACGACATTCGTCGTCGTCCGTCATCTGGTTGCCACGCCGCTGGCTTACCTGGGCTTTCCGCTCGCCGTTGTTCCCACCCATCCGTGGTCGTCGTCAGCGTCGTTGTTGGCATCGTCACCAGCGTCGTTGTCGTCGTTGTCGGCATCATTGTCGGCGTCGTTGTCGGCGTTGTCGACGTTGTCGTCGCGGGCGGTCGTGGCTTGAGATGGTGGGGTGGATGGTGGTGGTGGTGGTGAAAGAAAGAAGCGACGTGGCAACGCGACAGCCATAACTGTCACGTTTGAGACGCCACGTGACAAACGACGCTATATAGAGACCTTTAGTTTACCTTGTAACAAAGCCGGTGTGGCTCAGGTGGTTAGATTGCTGCTTCTATTCACGATGTTGTGGGTTCAATTCTCTCAGATGCAAAAATTTTATTTTTACTTAAATATAGTAAGGACACTATAAATACTATATCTATATGTATTCTAATGGTATAATGGTCATTAATTCCTTCCATGGAATCCATATGAACTGCTCCATGGAATCCATATGGACTTGTTCCATGGAATCCATATGGACTTGTTCCATGGAATCCATGGTGGATATGCCTAAGTTCCATATGGAATTCAGTGGAATCCAGGTGGAATGGCAATGGATTCCATATGGAATTGACCATTCCATGATCATTCCATGATCATTCCACATGGAATCCATGATGTCCATGGAACAACAAATTGGCTGTGGTCTCAGCCAAGTTTCATTCCATGGATTCCACATGGAATTGGTGATGGATTCCATGGATTCCACATGGATTCCATATGGATTAACCCGGGGAAGGTAAAGACCTCCTTTTCGCTGCCGAACTGATTCTGGCCACTTTCAAATTCAAGATTTTTATAATTATGGTATTTATTTGTATTTATTCAGATTACTGGTCTGTCAACATGTCACGTGGCAGGACACTCTCTTCTGCAACAAGCGCCCACCACGACCATCGACAATTGGTCACGAAGACCCACCACCATGTTCGAGGAACGGCGACAACCGCCCAGCAATGTCCACAGGCGCCCAGCACCACCATCGACGAACAGCGATGACAGCCCACCACGACCTCTGACGATTGACCATCAGGACCATCGACAAGCGCCCACGGACGGCCACAAAGGCCCACCACCACCATTGACGGATGACGATGAGCGCCCATGAACGTCTACGGGGCCCACCACCAGAATCGACAAACAGCCATGAGGGCCCATCACCACCATCGACAACCACCACCAAGATCGACGGATGGCTATGACCG